GGCGTGGTAGTGAAGTAATCCGACGCCATTATCTTGTGCAGCCTCTCTCTCAAGTTCGCATCTACAAAATTGTATTACAAGTTAACACCACACCCAAATTGAAAGAACGAAACTAACCGAACAAAACCAGCAAAAAAGATATCGAGTAGAGATTAGAAAGAAAAAAAATAACAATACAAGTAACATCCGTGTTGGGCCCAATAGACTTGTCTGCCTTCGTGAGCCAAAGATTAGCGTGCTCGATGCAACGCTCCAACGCAGTCTTATGCGGCAAATTCGAATCTACGGGACGTGAGATCAGTAGCCCGCTCATCGTCGATATCAAATCCAGATCCCTCTCGGCCAGAAGATCGGTAGCATCGTCAGTGACATAATCGTAGGTGAGGCAGCAACCCCTCTCGTGCGTTCTCGTAAGCATCGTCGAAGTGAAATCGCTTTGAGACTTGACGTCAAACAAAGAGCCAAAGTAGAGGAGGTTTAGAAGATCTTCGACAACAGCGTGCTCGTCCTGGTCTTTCTCGACACTGGTCTTGTCATCCACAACCTCCGAAGGTGAATCATCGGTTGAAACGGGTTGAGGGGAGACACTCGCCTGCTGGCGTTGAACAGCCAAGTTGATTTCCTCAGAGACAGCCGACGCAAGCGGTGGGCGAAGCTTTTCAAGCTCATCGATTAGGGCAGACACAGTAGGTTTAGAACGAAGGACTTCCTCTTGCTCTTTGTTGATGGGTTTTCCTTGAGCAATAGCCTCCTCCATCTGAAGAATGCGATTATGCTTCTTGCGAAGGGCGCGGAGACGCTTGTTGATGACACTGAGGACGGGTCCATCGGAAACATCGGAAGGAACGGGAGACGCCATTGTTACCGGCGAAGTGGTGGTTGTTAAATCCGGCGAAGTCGGTGATAAAAAGGATAGCCGTCGGAGCACCACCAAGCTAGGTGGTGAGAGGGTAGCAGTAGAGCGAGGGTTTTGAAAGGTTTCTGCGAGGGGAAAAAGAGGATGATGTGATTGGGCGAAGGAGGCGTTCAATTTAGGAATAAAGGGTTAAAATCGGTGGATTATCTTAATCCAATTTTAGTAAATATATTCTAATAAAATTAATTTTAGTTCTAAATTAGTTAAATTGGTTTTATAATTTTCATTTTCACGTAATAGCCGAGGATATTTAGCCGCTTTATTTAATATTCTGTATCATATTTGACTTTCACTTTTTACCATCAGTAAATATTTTATAATATTTAGTTTTATGTTACCATTCATAATATTATTATAATCTATATGTTCTCTATTTTCTTTATAATTTATTTGATTATATAAGTGATTATAAATATATAGCTGCTGATTAGTAGAAATGATTTTAGCAAATATTTTCATAGTATAAGATCACTTGAATTTAGTAACTCAGATCACTTTTTCTACGTAGTTTTAAATTGAGTCTTTCCCCTCTAGCCTACCGCCACCATCCCCTAGCCGACCCATATTCTCATCAACAAAGACGATGATAACAATAATAATAAATAATATTAAGTTGTCAATTCAAACATCAAATTTCTTGTGTTAGACGACTCTCCACAATAGTATGATATTGTCCACTTTGAGCATAAGCTCTCATGGCTTTGCTTTGGGCTTCCCCAAAAGGCCTCATAGCAATGGAATGTATGATATTGTCCACTTTGAACATAACTCATGGCTTTGCTTTGAGCTTCCCCAGAATGCCTCGTAGCAATGGATAACTCACTTATAAACTTAATCATTCCCTAAATTAGCAGATGGAGACTTTCATCATCCAACACCTTGTACTGATTAGGCGAGCACAATACACAAACAAGAACAAAGTTGAAAAAAGCAATTCCAGCAACAATGCAGTAGTAATAATCAACTTTGCCAGCATTCAGATCGTTTGTGAGCCAATCGGCCTTTCTATGGCCGCCGCTTGTTTTGTGAATAATTATGATAATCGAAGTGCTCACATAGCTAGCAATGGTGAAGGAGATTGCGAGAAGGGCATTGGCCATTGTTCTCAAATGCTCTGGAAACTCATTGTTGAAAAACTCCATCTGCCCTATAACGCTAAAGGCCTCACACAGCCCCATCAGTATGTGCTGAGGCGCTAGCCAGAAGACCGGCATTTGTCGATTTCGATGCGCCAAATGGTTCAAACCTACCGTTAGCGGATATTGTCCGCTTTTGCTTGTTATGTATCGCCGTTAACCTCACGGTATTAAAACACGTCTGTTAGAAAAAGGTTTCCACACTTTTATAAGAACCCATTTCTAATGATGCAATCTACCCCCTTAGGGACCCAACGTCTTCGCTGGCACACCGTCCAGTGTCTGGCTCTTATATCATTTATAAGAGTCCAAGTCCACTGCTACATATATTGTGTGCTTTGGCCGTTATCTCATTTATAAAGATCAATAAATATGAGAAGGTACTAAATTTCTGACCTGCATTGGGCAGTGAGGGAGCTTTGGGATGACAACAGTTCCAGAGTCTAACTGAGGATCATAGAAGGTTGCGTTGTCAATGGCTCCATGAGAAGGGAGCTTAAGCTTCCGTTTCTTATATGTTCCAACAACTTGAGCAAGCCAAGTAAAAACACTTCCCTCGGGCTTCATATAGACATAAACACGAGTGCCCAAAAAGAAGAGTACGATGACACCAAACATGAGCAGTGGGAATGGCATAGCCCAACACCCAGCTGACAGAGTCTTGGACGTACACAACCACAGTTGCAGTGAAGACCAAAATGATGGAAAAGGTGGCGTAGTACCAATTGTAGAAGCTGCCCAACCCTTTTCTTCCTTTCTCCGTTGTGGTATCAAATTGGTCCACGCCAAAAGGAACACTACATGGTCTAATCCCGCCTGAGCCAATGGCTAAAAAGCAAAGACTCATTATTAGAAAGCCTAGTTGCGACTCGTCGGACCTTTGCATTGGCTCGTTGCCTGAAGCGGCGAGTCGCATTCCGATGGATGCAACTGTGCTATCCATGCCGTCAATGTCAATCCCGCCATTCCCTATAAATCAACATTGAATTCAAAATCTTAAATCAAAAGAATGTGACGAGGCAAATGGGTTTGTGGCTTAACTATGAACATGCAATTGAGTAGAACAATTACTCACTAATACAAAGAGGACTCAGCCATAAATGCCAAACGTTAGAAATTACGAACCTCCACAATGGCATGATCTTGTTAACGAACCTCCACAATGGCATGATCTTGTTAACGAACCTCCACAATGGCATGATATTGTCTATTATGAAGATAAGCTCTCATAGCTTCGCTTATGATTTCCCCAAAAAGGCTCATACCAATGGAGATAATGTTCTCTACTTATAACCTCATGATCTTCCTCTTAATTAGCCAATGTGAGACTACTCCTTTCAATAATTCTCAACAATCCTCCCCTCAAACAAAGTACACCATAGACCCTCCTCTAAGGCCCGTAGAGCCTTCAAACAACCTCCCCTTAATCGAGACTTGACTCCTTCCTTTGGAATACACCCTTTGTTCGACACTTCAGTCACTTTTGACTAAATCTTCAAGGCTCACAATTTTTTTGTTCGATATATAAGGATTCTATTGACATGACTAAGTTAAGAGCATAAGTCTAATACCATGTTAGAAATCACGAACCTATGATATTATCCACTTTGAGCATAATCTCTAGTAACTTTACTTTTAGTTTCTCCAATGGCATCGTACCAATAAAAATAGTGTTCCTTACCTATAAACCAATATTCTTCCTCTTAGTTAGCCAATGTGCAACTACTCCTTTCAATAATCCTCAACACGAGGAGAACTCAATTCAATTATCAATTCCCAATATTCATCTAACCAGCAACATCACAGCCAAAGTCAAATATATCAACTAGGGGTCCGCCAAAAACAACGTAATTTCCCTTCTAAGGTGTAGGGTTTAGGCACAGCGCATATTCCATTCAACAATTTACAGATTCAACAACTTGAAACTCCTATACAATCATTTCAATGACGAACTTAATAGTAAAGTAAGAATAAATACCAAAAGAAAAACTACGGATCCAAGTGCAATGGCATCGGAAATGAAAGCTCCAACCAGAGGAGTACATTTACTTGCAATCGACCAAGCGTTGATTAAACTAGTCGCACAAACTTGATTCAAAATCAACAAAACGGAACAGAGAGAGCGAGAGAGAGACCTAAGATGTAAGGCATGGTCTTCCATCCACCAGGCTTTCTTCGAGGCTGGTTCTGGGATGAAGAAGCCTTTCTGAAACCGCCATTGGAGCCGGGGTTCTCATTCTCAGTATCCATCGGCAACTGAGAATGAAAATGAGAGGGAGTGAAGGAAGTAAAGGTGAGCGGGAACCGCTAATCTCGACGTAGCTGAACAAATAATTTTTAAAAAATTAAATATATTAATAAAAACTTAAAATTTAAGAGAAAATAAGTTTTTATCTAAAATTAATAAGAAATTATTTTAAATTATTTTTTAAGATATTATCCAAACTTTTTAAAATATTTTTTATAATAATAAAATAACATTTATTTATTTACTTTTGTTTGATTCTTCTCTACCTGTTGCCGACCTTCCCACCAATACAGTGGTTGAATTTAACACTCATATATATTTATTTATTTATTATTATTATTTAATACAAATTTTCAGATCCAATGAACCCTTCTTTGATTGGAACTCACAATTGGATTTTTTTCTAATTTCAAGAAAACTATTAATACATATATATATATAAATATAATTATGAATTATACTCTATTTTGATTAATAAGTCAAAAATTTATAGAATGGAAGTCGGGACACCTTTTTATAAATATTATTATTGTCTAATAATGTTTATAGTTGTGTTCCAAGTACTTCGAACCATAAAGAAAATTACTCGACACATTTAAAGTGCTTCGAAAGATATCACCAACATGAACAACTAGTATTCAAAAAAAAGGCCTAAAGCCGATCATAGGGAAATGGGAAGCTTCATCCTAAAGTCGTTGTAATCAGATCTCAGTGTCGAGTAATCTCTAAATTGAACTATACTAAATAGTTGTCCATTATTAATTCCGCTCTACTAAGCTACAAATCACACAATTTTCTTAGTTTAAAGAGTCACACCTCCAGCTTTTTATCAGAGCTCGCAAGCTCAAAATCAAGTTCGGAGTTGGATTCTTTACCCTTGTAACGGTAATTCTTAGCACAGTAAAGAAAAAGGAAGAAGTTAAAGAACGCCGTCGCTGCAACGATGTAGTAGAAGTAATCCAATCTACCTTTGTTCAGATCATCCGCCAACCAATCGGTCCGCCCATCGCCGCCGGTGGTTCCATGCACAAATAAAACCAGAGCAGTGCTAACATAGCTCGACAACGCAATCGAACAGGACGACAGAGCATTACCCATCGTCCTCATATGCTCTGGAAATTCCTTATTGAAAAACTCGATTTGCCCAATTATATTAAATGCCTCGCAGAGACCCATAAGGAAGAATTGTGGTGTCAGCCAGAATACCGACATGGAACCGCCGCCGGCATTGGCTTGATTTCTTCGAGCCATCTCGATTAAGCCGGCGATGACCATGGAGAGAACGGCGAAGAGTATGCCGACGGCCATTCGTTGGAGCTGGGTAATGCCGTTTTGGTGGTGGGTGAATTTGCGAAGGAAGGGGACGAGGAATCGGTCGTAGATGGGGACGAAGAGAGTGATGGTGAGGAAGGAAATGACGATGATTGACGCCGGTGGGATATGGAAATTGGGTCCGATGCGGCGGTCCATTAGCAGAGCTTGGGAGATCGAGAAAGTCGCCTGTTGAAGCATTGGAGTCAGGCTGAGAATTCCGGTAACCCAAATCGGAGCAACTCTGATCAAGCATTTGAATTCCTCAACTTGTTGGATTGTGCTTAGATTCCATTTGTTTGTTCTTTTTCCATCTGGGTTTAGCTCCTTCTCCATAACAACGGCGGCCTTGTTCAAGAATCTGTAAAACCTCGTACAAATCAGAACAGGGTATAGAAACAGAGAGAAACAGAGACAGAGAACAGAGGTGACCTGAATTGGTCGGTGAGAGGAAGCTTTGAGAGGACAACAGAGCCAGGCTCCAATGGAGGGTCATAGAAAGCTGTCCGGTGGTTCGTTTCAAGAGAAGGAAGCTCAACCTTCCGCTTCCTATAGGCGGCGACGGCGACTTGAACCAAGCCGGTAAACACGCTTCCCTCAGGCTTAATAAACACATAAACATGAGTACCCATGAAGAACAGAACGATGGAACAGAACATAAGCGCCGTGGGGATGCCATACCCCAAAACCCAGCTAACAGAGTCTTGAATATACACCACGATCGTCAAAGTAACCACCAAAACCACGTTGAACGTGGCGTAATACCAATTATAAAAACTGGCTATTCCTTTCCTCCCTGCGTCCGTCGTCGGGTCAAATTGATCGACGCCGAACGGAATACTACACGGCCGGATTCCGCCGCTGCCGATTGATACCACACAAAGACTCATTATTAAGAATCCCATTTGGAACGGCGTTGGCCCCTCGCATTTCCCTCCACCGCACGCCGGCGGATGTAGCGCCGGCAACCACGCCGTCAAAGTCATCGACGCCATCCCCTGTTATGGCCAGGAATAACACAATTCAAGTATTATCTCATATAAAACACCAAAATTTGAAATCCCATTTCAAAATAAAGAGAGAGGATTACGAAAAGAGAGAAAACGGATGCAACGGCGATGGTCCAGTAGCGACCGACATACGCATCGGAGAGAAAGGCGCCGAGAAGCGGCAAGAAATTGGTAACGCCGGTCCATACGTTGATCAAAGTGGTGGCGGAAACTTGATCCATGTGATACACTTTGATCAAATACACCATGAAGTTGGCTATCAATCCCATTGAAGCCAGCCGTTCAAACGTTTCATTTCCTGTAAAATAAGCAGAACGTTAAGAGAGAACCCTCCAGCCCCATAAAGAAACCCAAGCAATTGTAGCTACCAAGGATGTAGGGCATGCTCTTCCATCCGCCCGGCTTTCTTCCAGAGCTCCGCTGTGCTGAAATGGATAGTTTGGGACTGTCATCGTCGGTCAAGCAACGTAACTTGGTGGGAGAGCTTGCAGCCTTGCTATGCCCTTCAACCTCCATTTCTTCCCCCTCTCTCGTTTGCTCTTCTTTCTTGGGTGTGGCTTAATTTATATAGAAGGTTGCATCTAACGGTGATATCACTTGGTCAACACAAATTTTCAAGACACATGCAGTGTTCGATCCTGCCCAGGATGAGCGTGGGCGGTATACTTAACGCAGGCAAGTCAAACGGAAAGTGGTGTTTCCAGTAGCGAACAGGTGAGTAACGCGTAAGAACCTGTCCTTGTGAGGAGAACAACAGCTGGAAACGGCGGCCAATACCCTTTACGCTGAAGAGCAAAAGGAGGAATTTGTCCTAGGAGAGACTCGCGTCTCATTAGCTTACAATTGTACTTGCTTTTACCCACACCAAGGAACCACAATGGATCGTTCTTTTTCTTCCAATTAGTGAAGCAGGAGTCGTTTTCCCTTAAAGTCTTCAGTGACACCGAAGGTCTACCTCCTTTAGTAGCTCGACTCCATCAATGAGTTTTTCAACACCGAATTTTAAAGTTGATAAGATTGAATTACCGTATAATAAGTTAAGTAGTAACTTTTTTACTTATCATATTTTCATGATCACTCTCGTTAATTCATGTAGTTCTACTTTGTTCGAGTGTCACATCAGTATTTATTTTTAAACGATGTAGAGTCTATTAATATTAAATAAATATTTATAACGATAAAGATATAACATGAACGAGAATATGATGCTACAAATACTCGCATATATATATATATATATATATATATATACTAAATTACTAATTATCCTTTTGTGAATTGAAGCATGGATTATTGTTGGTAATTTTTAACTATAAAAATAAAATAGGAAAATAGAAAAAAAAAAAAAAAGATAATATAATAATACAAACAAATGGAGAAATACAAAGAAAAGAGAGATTGCGGTGTACGTTAGAGAGAAGAGAACCCAACCACGTATCAAACAAGCCCCTCCCCTACCACGTGGATATACAATCAAATCCCGGATTTTTTTCTTTAAAAAAATATACAAATATATTTTAAAATATTTTTATTTTTAGAGAAATAATTAAAAATCACCATAATTTAATCAATTAGCGTCTCCATCTTATTAATATCAAACTTGTTCTTCTCTACCAACATATAATATTTAACAAAATTAATTATTATTACGTTTTTTTTAATTTAATATATTTTTGAATTAGTTGTTCATCAAAATCGACTGGACCGAGTATCGTGTATCATATGTGTTTAGAATATAGAATAACAATTAGGGGATAAAAATTTGTAGTTTATAATTCGTCGTATTATAAATAATTTATTTTTGTAAGTTTCCTTATTTCATAATATACGAAAGTTGCCAAATTTAAAATATTTTAAAATGTATAATTTAATATACAATTAATAAAAACGTGAAAAAAAATTTATAGTTTAATTCCTATAATTTTAAAATTTAAAATTAATTCCAAAAATATAAGATAAAATTTAAACTTTTAATAATGAAACTAAATTTGTTATTTCATAATACACCTAACAGATATTTGTTCCCAACAGCACAAATTGGTCAATTAGGATAGCTATGTGCTTTATTTTATAAATTTATTTATATTTTATTTAATTGATTAGGGAATCAAAACAAAAACATCTTAATAATTATTAACCATTTTTTTTTATTACAGAAGAAACAAAATATATATTTGGTATACCTATTTTTATCTCTCTCAAATTTGAAATTAGAACAATCAATTTTTTTTTTAAATACTATATTTAAAACCATTATATGTTTTAAAATAATATATATATATAAAAGTAAATAAATATATATTTTTTTGTTTGCATCTTCCCCGTCGACGAGTCGAACAATTTATTTTATTTTATTTTTTTAATTCTAAGAAAAATTAAAATATTTTATATTTCGTAAATCTTTTGTTTTTTTAGATTGGAACTTTCGAAAGTTTATATCTATATATATATATATATTCTAATTAAGGTAAAAAATGTTTATTTGATCTTTTGCCATATGTTAATTGATTTAAGGTATATCTCAGCCTTTATTTATTATTATTATAATTATTTGTCCTCATCCTATGTTGAGATTTAAATATTTATATAATATTGTAATTATTAAACCGTTAATATTACGAATAATTGAATGGTTCAATGAGACGATAGATAGATAGTCATAGTAATTAGAGTCGTAGTGAGAGCATGTATAAACTAAGCACAATCGATGGATGGAGATAGCTAGACAACGAGAGCGAGAGAAAAAATAGAATGACTTTATTGCTTTTCATAATCTAATTTTATGTTTGTATCATTTTAATTTATTTTTACAATACCAACAAAGTTGATCGATTTGGTGACAAAGTTACGAGTCTATTAAAAAATATTTAAAAAACCCGCCATCATCCAACACCTTTCATCGAACAAGGTTTAAGGCATGACTCTGATACCATGTTAGATAAACACGACTCTCTATAATGGTATGATATTATCTACTTTGAGCATACCCATGATCATTCCCTAAATTAGCCCACCGATGTTGGACTTTCATTCAACACCTCCCCTTAATCGAACAAAGTTTAGGGTTTGACTCTGATATCACGTTAGACGAACACGACTCTCCACAGTGGTATGATATTATCCACTTTGATCATAAGCTCTCATGGTTCTGCTTTGAGTTTCCCTAAAACGCCTCACACTAATGAAGATAGTATTTATTGATTATAAACCCACGATCATTTCCTAAGTTAGCAGATGTGGGACTTTCATTCCACCCGTCTAGTTTATGATTTTTGATTTTCTTTTTTTAAAAGTAAATGATGTTAATGTTATTTTAAAAATTTAATGTTGGAATATATATTTTTTTAAGATAATTTAGGCATATTTTTATTAACTTTAGCATATTTTTATATTATTTTTAATGATCTTTATAACCTTTTAAACCGCTGGAATCTCACTCACCGGTGAAGGTCACAGCCACAAGGCTGCTGCTTGATTTATCGAACAACTTTCTCGTGAACCAGTGAACCACCACCGCGGTTCTTGTTTCTTCTCCGTCTTTTACCAACCCCCAATTCGATGTAACATATAAATGAAGCCTCCACCAATTACCTTCCCCGCGCCCGAGATTGCCCCTTCAACGTAAGGTTATCTCATTGCTGCGTTTAATTAATGTGGTTTGCATTTCCCACTGGTTTTGTTCGGTTGCTTCGAGAACTGTGTCGAGCCCTTCTTTGTTCTGTCGCCTACTTTTTCTCTTCTCCTTGCGCTCCAGGTGTTCGACGAAATGCCTGAGCCATGCTCCTTTTCACCAACGTATTACCCACTTCTTATTTCTTCCCCACACCGTTTGGATGTTTGAGCCCTGGCGTTTTTCCCTCCATTGTCTTCGTTTCGAGATGCGGCGGGATGGCTGCGACAGAGAGGAGGTGTTCGCTCTTGTCTTCAAAGGGTATGTTTTATGGTTGTTCTGGGTTTGTAAGGAGGTGCAAAGATTTGGATAGGGAAGGGAATTTTGCATTGGAGGCAGAGATATTGGAGTTTATGGAAAGTTCAAGAAACCCAGAAGCGTTTCCGAGCAAGAAAGACTTGATTGAGGCCGGCAGGGAGGATTTAGTGGATGCTATAGTCAAGAAAGGTGGTTGGCTTTGTCTCGGATGGAATTTGAACGACGAAGAAGATGGGGGTATTGAACAGCTCTATCTCGAGGATCGGGAATCTATCTTGGCCACTCATTGGGATAGTTTTGGTGAATTCAATAGTTTCAAGAGTGATGAAAGACAAAGATTTGCTACAGATGTTTCTCCCATTGCTTCTTCTTCGACATCATCTTCCTTCACCAGCCGATCACAGTGAGGATTCCATTATGACATCTTAGTTTATTTCTGCTTCATTTGAAATCACTACTTATAAAAATAACTATTTCCGAATAACGTGCGTGAAAAGGCCATTGGCTTGAAATTTGTTCCTAGCAATCTTCAGGGTGTGTTACAGCATGCCAATGAAAGGAACCCTGAATTTTTACGACAACAAGATGTTGTGTCAGGATGTGAACGACACAAACTTTACTAACAGGTTCATTTAACATGGTTGCCAACGAGCCATCAACCTTAATGTCATTGTCTCATGGAGAAAATTTTAGATGTTTTCTTCATGTTTGAGAAAATGAAGCAAAATAACTTCAAATTTGGGTACCTTAATAATCATTTTAACTGCAGAACATTAATCGAGCTTTCCTCGTTGTGTCATGTTTTGGCTGCTATCAACAATATTTGCAATGGTGATTAGTCTACATGCTTTCATTTTCACAGAGAAACTGTTGTTGAGCACGAGTCTGGGATTGAGGGTATGCTGAATCGATTGGAAAGAGAAAGAAATGTGACGTTCGGGACTGGTAAAAATTGTTTGCATCCTGAAACAACAGTAAAGGAGGTAAGGATGCTCCGGTAATTCAATAAACTGAGTTTTCCAATCTGGGCTAGGTTGTTGTCCGTGTTTAAAGTGTAATTAGAGATTGATTAGAACAGTTTTCATTTCCATAATTCCTGTAGATATAATTTCTCTCATATTAGTAAGTACTCGTTCAAGTAATTTCTTCTGTCTCGAAGATAATTATCGTTAGACTAACCAAGGTAAAAGATATACCTTTGAATTTGATGCAGGATGTCTTTCCCATTGGGTTGTCATAATTAGCCGTGCTTGTGCTATGATTTATTTTTCATTTTTCAACTTTGAAATCGTTACATGTATAATTCTCTTGTAAGAATTGTAAAAGGATGAAACTTGTGTTGCTTCTTGCATGGTAAAAGACAGTTGCTGACCTACAAGAAATCCCTATCAGCACGCCACTGAGTGCCAAAGAAGGCAAGTGGAACAATTTGGGGAGTTATCTTAGTAAGAATTCTTCTCCTGTACAAATTAATGGTCAAGGAGGCTCGGTTAGTTCTGAGGTGCAGGGAACTTGGAGCACATTCAAGACAGACCTTCCAGACGGAGATTTTAAAGGTTTTTCATTTATTCAAGGGTTGCTTTGGGATATAAGAGTTCACATTGACCGACTTTTTATATGTACAGGTTCAGAAATGGCTTTGAGCGAGGGAAGGAGCAGGGAAGTATTGGATGTCCTGAGATATGAAACATTAGGATCTAGAGGGGATCCTACCAATTCTAACTCTGGCGAGGAAGAAATGAGTCACAATCAAATACAACGTCACATTCAGAACTTGCAGTTGGAGCTCTCATCCGTAATCGGCTCATTGAGATCTAATTCATTTGCGTCTGAGAAGGTTTAGTCTGCAACTTGATTTTGTTGTCAAATGAACTGTGACGATCTGCATGTCTTTGATTGAAATGGATGAAATTGATTTATTTCATTTCCTATCATGGAACTGGAGAAGGATCTGAATAAAGTAAAAGATGCTAACTAGTCTAATAGTGTTGATAAAAACGATGAATATCTCTTTGATTGTTGGGCAATAATGTTAAATACGTTAAAATATTGAACCTGCATGTTTATGGTGCTATCATGATCATTAGGGTCAAAGTAAATCTTCTGATGATTTGCTGGAGCTTTCGGATGCTTTTGAGTTTCAAGAAAATGAGATCCTAAATGCCAAGGACAAGCTACGGTCTATACGGGCAAAGATAGCCGTGGTCGAAGGGAAGATGGCACTGACAATTATGTATGGGAAACTTGTGCTTTGCGTAGTGATTTGTTCTATCTATAGAGTATCAATGACTTTCTGTCTTTACAGTGATGCACAAAAGGTGGTAGAAGAGAAACAAAAGAGGATCAATTGTGCCCGCAGAGCTTTGCAATTTCTTCGCACTGCCTGCGTGGTCTGGCCTAATTCTGCAGCAGAGGTTCTCTTAGTAGGATCATTTGATGGTTGGTCAACCCAGGTAAAAAAATTCTTCCTATTTGATTACTTTGCTTGCTTTGATGGTTGAAATACTTGGGGAGGACATGGATTGGTTTCTGTCTATTTCCTATAGAATGTACTGCTTGCTTGCCTGCCTATTGATTGGGGAGGAGAGCAAAAATTCTTTATAAGGACGTGGAAATCTCTCCCCAGCAGACATGTTTTAAAAACCTTGAGGGGAGCCCCGAGAGGGAAAACCCAAAGAGAACAATATCTGCTATTAGTGGGCTTAGGCTTAGGCTGTTACAATTACACTGTAGGTATCATTACGTCAACAGCCTGCATTTTCTAATAGTTAGATGCTACACAAGTTCGATAGTAGGAACAGTAGTATGAAGTGTTGTTAAGGATGTTCATCTGCAAATCGCATTACTGAATAACTCTACAGTTTTATGAGGTTTTATTCATTCATCTCTTGTAGTCTTACTCATATTTAACAACAGCTTATTCTCATTCTGCAGAGGAAGATGGAAAGGTCCAGTACAGGCGTTTTCTCTTTGTTCCTGAAGCTGTATCCTGGAAAATACGAGGTTGGTTGTTCTTTGGAGGTTCTATTCACATAATTCATGCTTTTGAACCATAATCTTACAGTTTTCCATGATATTCAGATAAAATTCATTGTTGATGGCCAGTGGAAGATTGATCCGTTACGCCCAATTGTTCGCAGCGATGGATACGAGAATAATCTACTGATCGTCACGTAGCACACCAGGCTGTTTATATTCTTTTTCTTGCCTAGCCCGAAGAGCCGGGTGCCTCAACTACCCCTTCTTTTGTAGCGTTTTCGTACGAATTATACATGTATTTCTTTCTACTTCCGACATCCAGTTTAGGTTTCTTCCTGTCTCCCCCACGTATTTGCATTTCTCGCTGATGTAAAAATATAGGTAAAATAGATAACAATTACTTCCCCGGAATCAGTTAGCTCAATATAATCGTTGATGTTTTATTTCAGCCTGTGATGGTGAAATGTAATATTCCATTAGCAGTTAAAATCATACAATGACAGGCAGTTTCAATTGGTGAGCTTTGCAGCCGCATGGGGCGTTGTAATGGCAACAGTAAAGCCGCTGCCAGAATAAACTTTGACGTCGAAAGCAGCACTCTCAAGTTTGCGGCGCAGAGTAACTGTTTGTGGGTTGGTGTGGTCACATGTGTCTCCCAAACCCAGCTGACCATGCTCCCCCCAACCCCATGTCTTTACAGCTCCATCCTCTGCCATCAATAAGATTTAGACATGTGAGTAGGGCGAACCTAAATGGTTTTAACCAACAACTTTGGAAAACCATCATGCCTGTAACGACTGCAGAATGCTCGGCCCCGGCTGCAATGTCCAAGATTTTTATTCCACAGACTGCTCGGAAATTGTCTTCCTCTGTAGCACCTGATATACAATGAGAATCCCATATCAAGTGGTAATCAGCAAGTAACTCATCCAAGGATTAGAATCGTTTCCTCTAGGATCACCGAGTTTGTGGATGACAAGTGGAGGAGAGCGATTTATAAGTGTGTGGAAACCTTTAAAAGTCTTGAGGGAGAAGTTTGAAAGGGAAAGTCTAAAGAGGTCAATATTTGCTAGTGGTGAACTTGGACCGTTATGCAAGGTTAATTTGCAATTCTAAGATGGGTTTCTTAATGAATCAAATAGACAAGTTAATTCGATTACCGGGCAGAGAATTCGTGACATTGAGCCTTTCAGAATCGCTCAAGGTTCCGTGATGTTTGCCACCAAGCATATAAAGTTCCCCTTCATCTGTTCAAGATAGCCATGGTTGCCACTTAACAAGTAGAAGGTCATCATCACATATACATAATCCAAATAAGACGTGAACTGAATGTCAATACCAGTTAAAACTAATGCATGGTTCCATCCAAGAGCAACTTTCCTGAACGACAATGGTGAAGGTAGATATTGAGGAGAAAATGCGTCCGAATTCGTTCCGAATCCTCGTCCCCACGTAAAGAGACGCCCATCAGCTAAAGTAATAGCCAATACAGAACGAAGAGATGGGAAATTAACAGGGGTTAGGCAGAATGTTCTTAACAGACTCTGTAAATGTAACTTACTGGACAACGCAGCACTGTGATCTCCAGCTGCAGCTATGCCAACTATTTCAGCAGCTTCCAATTCTGAAGACAGAACGGGAAGATTAACAGATTGAATCTTGTTGGAGATGCCCAATTGACCTCGCTTCCCAGCTCCAAATCCATAAACTTGAGCACCACAACAACCTGCGTCATCAAATTTTGAATCAAAGACTTAGAAAGCTATCAACGAACGTTGAAGCTATTCATCATTGTTTCCTAAGAAGCCAACAGATTCGACCTCTACAGCTTGGATTAATAATTTCATCTGATGAATGAAAAGGAGAGGCAAAACATACAAAAATGATTCCCAACCCCAGATAGTAATTACAATGGAACTTCTACTTGACCTAAAGTCACTATTGTATATCTATCATGGACACTAGACCCCGAAGGAGGATACATTGGGGGATTTCACATCAATTGGCGAAAGGAACGAGTGCAAGGAGGCTGAGTCCCAAAGGGGATGGGCATGAGACAGTGTGCCAGCAAGGACACTAGGCCTCGAAGGGGGTGGATTGAGGGGTCCCACATCGATTGAAGAAGAGAATGAGTGCCAAAAAGGACGCTGGACCCCGAAGGAGGTGGATTGTAAGATCCCACATCGGTTGGGGAGGAGAACGAAACATTCCATGTAAGAGTGTGGAAACTGTCCTTAGCATACATGTTTTATAACATCGAGGAGAAGTCTAGAAGAGAAAGCTCTAAAGAGGACAATATTAGCTTACGGTGGGTGGGTTTGTGCGGTTACAGAGATTCAAGGAAACCAATCTTCACACTGAAACATTACATTACAATGATGATTATGTTGGTACATACTTTTCAATACCTTTCACCAATGCAAGCGAGTGGCGCATCCCACATGCAATCTGATCAACATGTTTATCAGAGAAAAACAAGAGTTCATCAGGGAAGCAACGTGACTGGAAATCCCCATGCCCTAACTGCCCAAATGAGCCATCCCCACAACTATAAACCTTTCCCTCATCTACAACAGAAAACCACAAAAATGAAAACAACATGTTGTAAACCAAGCTTTCACAAGGAAGGAACCAACAATAAGCCAACCTGAAACAAACCCAGAATGGCTCCATCCCGCGGAGACATGGGTTATGAAGCAGCCTTCCAACCCCACCACTGGCTTAGGTTCTAAGCTGCTCACCATGTCCCCTAGCCCCAACTGCCCTGAATTTCCTCTTCCCCATGTAAGCACCCCTCCTCCTTACAAAACATAAGCACCCAGTTGAATTACCACCAAACTGAAAACCTTAATGAACTCATAGAAATTTGCATTAAGGCCAACAAAAGGATGGGAAAGAAGAGAATCCGATACCAGCAGTCAAAGCGATGACATGAGCGCCGCCGCAGGACACGGATGAGACGACGGCGCCAGAGGAGAGTGACGCAATCCGGAGGAGTTGAGGGAGGGTCTCATCCTCGAGTCGCCCGGTGCCCAGCTGCCCGTCGGTTCCTGCCCCCCAACTCCATATCTCTTGCTCGCCGTCGTCTTCCATTGATCTGGACTGTCGTTTTTCTTCAAGTAACTTTCTCCGATTGGGTTGTCCGCCGGTGCACTGAGGAGTTTCGCCGACGTCTAAGAAACACGAACTTTTCTTGGATCGGACACCCGAGTTCGCCACTGAATTCTTTCCGTGTTGAAGCTTGATCTAAATTACAGTGACCGCAGCCAATAGCAAACCCTTTTCAATAAAGAATGTTTCTAAAATATCGATAAATAATGGTTTAAGCTAATGAACATAGATTTCTCCTTCATAGTTCAAATAAAAGTACAATTAATAATAATAATAATAATAATTAGGTCACTCAACCAAAAAATATCACATAAATTTTTTGTTTTTCCAACTCTCCTCTTTATTGGGTAAAATCGTAGCAAGAACTCTGCTTGAACCCTTATGATCGGCATCGGATAAATCTCCTCTAAACCCCCTTCCATTATCATCCTCTGAATCGATTTCCAATGCCACAATCCCACTTGGCAGAAGAGGGATTTTCTGTAAGAATTTAGCCCCAGACGTGTTCTTCAGCTTCCGGTAAGGAATGGCTACTTCTTTAGTGTTGACTTCACCATTAATGTCGGCTTTTTCCGCGAGAAAGACCCTTATCTCGCTAAATCTCAATCGACCCTCCATTAGTCAGGGCAACCAATCTCTCCCTAGGTCGAGTTCATGTATAAACATTCGCCATTTCAACTGTTTTAATCCTGTTTTCTCGACTTCTCGGTTGTCTTGTACTGTCACTCGATGTTCATCGAATGAGTTTCTGGAAGTTGATGACATTTTGCCCTCTTTTGAGGAGAAGCCAGTTAAAGTTCTGCTGTTGGTTCTGTTTTGGGCTTCTTTATCCCTTGCTTGGTTTGCTGCTTCTGGGGATGCCAAAGCTGCTGTTGACTCTATCAGAGCTTCGAATTTTGGTCTAAAGATCGCCAGTGCATTGCAGAGCTCAGGCTGGCCTGCTGAGGCGATAGTATTTGCCCTCGCTACGCTTCCTGTTGTTGAGCTCCGTGGGGCGATCCCTGTTGGCTACTGGATGCAGCTAAAGCCTGTAGCTCTGACTGTTCTATCCGTTCTCGGGTGAGATTTAAATTTTTATGTCAGAAAACTCATTTCCTTGATTCTACATGTTCTACAAATTTCTTCTCATGGGCATCAACGTTTTAGTGTGAATAGATTACTACAAGTTCATGCTTGATTGGTATTACATATATAAGTGGGCGTTTATGTCTTGAAGAATAGAAGGCAAGTTCATATTATCGTTCTAGCCATTACACAAGATGTAGAGATTTCAAACCTCAGTGTGTTCATGGAGACACAAGCCTCCTATGAATCAAAGTAGGCCTAAATCTTGAAGCACAATTTAAACGTTGATGGATGTTTGAAGTGAACTTTAAAATGGTTCTTGAGTTCTTCGACCAGTGATCATCTGAGGAATTTCTTCCATCGTTTATGTTAAACTCTTCTGCATGAGTGAATCTTAAAATCTGATTACCTGAAATAAATAATCTGTTTCTACATGACATTCCTTTATTTTCACTTTTTTTAGTTGGAGCTTCTTGTTTGAGATATTTTGTTTTCGTATAGATTGGTCTAGAGGTTGTAGCTCTGTGGTCAAGGAGCTCTTACTTCATCTGCCTTTCATGAAAATGGATGTTTTTGTATTAGCCACGTTGACCGCTAGCAGATATTATCCTCTTTACGCTTTCCCTTTTGGGCTTCCCCTCAAGGTGTTTAAAACGCTTCTGTTGGGAGAGTTTCCACACCTTTATAAATAATGCTTTGTTCTCCTCCCTAACTGATGTGGGAACTTACAGTCCACCCCCCTTCGGGGTCCAGCGTCCTCACTGGCACTCGTTCTCTTCTCCAATCGATGTGGGACCCCTCAATCCACCCCTTTCTGGGCCCAACGTTCTTTTTGGCACACCGCCTTGTGTCCCACTCCCCTTTGGGTCTCAGCCTCCTCGCTGACACATCACTCGGTGTCTGATTCTGATACCATTTGTAATGGCCTAAACCCACCGCTAGCATATATTGTCTTCTTTGGGCTTTTCCTTTCGAGTTTTCCTTCGAGGTTTTTATAACCCGCCTGTTAGGGAGAGGTCTCCACACCCATATAAAAAATGCTTTGTTCTCCTCTCCAACCAACCTGCCAAAGTTGGTTTGATTTTGTCGGGTCTTTCGGATAAAAGGAATGATAGAATTTTGAGTACTTTTGGTGATTATCCTTTTAAGTCTTATTTGCTTGATTGAAGCTCGTACCCCTTGTATTCTTTAATTTGTTTAAGTTTGTTTTTCCACTCATAATACTTTGTGGGATTCAAATTGCAGGAACATGGTTCCTGTGCCCTTCATCATACTCTATTTAAAGAAATTAGCAACTTTCCTTGCGGGAAGGAATGCTACTGCCTCTCAGTTCCTTGATATGTTATTCAAGAGGGCCAAAGCGAAGGCTGCACCTGTTGAAGAGTTTCAATGGCTGGGTCTAATGCTATTCGTGGCTGTGCCTTTCCCTGGAACAGGAGCTTGGACTGGTGCCATTATAGCTTCCATCCTAGACATGCCATTCTGGTCAGGCCTTTCTGCAAATTTCTTTGGTGTTGTATTGGCAGGGCTTTTGGTGAACTTGTTGGTGAATCTTGGTCTTAAGGAGGCTGTTTTCACTGGAGTGATTCTTTTCATTATATCGACTTTCATGTGGAGCATTCTTCGACTGATTCAAAAAGCTTTCAACAAAGGAATTAAATGAACAAGGTTAGTATTTCTATGTCTAGTGACAATCAACAATGTCCTGTTTGATCTTACTCTGATTCATCTTGACTTAGATTTTTTAGTTTAAGTTTGTTTTGTGAACACTGTTTAGAAGAGAAAATGTAGGCAAACGACTTTCATTTGTCTTACTGAGCTGATAAATGCTGTGTAAATGCTGTTCTTATGATTGTTTGCCAAGTGTAGAATAGCGAATCTTGTTTCTTTACCTGTGAGTGTTAGGAATCACGACTCTCGACAATGGTATAATATTGTCCACTTTGAGCATAAGCTCTCATGGCTTTGCTTTGGGCTTTCCAAAAGGCCTCGGGGTTTCTTGCTTATAAACTCATGATCATCCTCTTAATTAGCCAATATGGGATTCCATCTCAACCATCCTCAATAGTAAGTATGAGCAATATAGTTGTGCTCGGAAGATTGCAAAATCATGCTCAAATGTGTGGTCTAGTTTGATTTGCCGTAGAGCATAACAAAAATGGGCAAGAAAATGAACCACCGAACTGGGCAGTGTGCCAGCGAGGATTCTAGTTCCCCAAGGGGGTGGATAGTGAGATCCCACATTTGTTGAAGAGGGAAATGAAACATTCCTTATAAGGGTGTGTAAACCTCTCCATATCATAGGTGTTTTAAAACCTTTAGGGGAAACCCGAAAGAGAAACCTCAAAGAGGACAATATTTGCTAGCAGTGGGTTTGGGCCGTTACTGTTATGATATTGTCCACTTCAAAGAAGACAATATTTACTAGCGGTGGGCTTGGGTCATTACCGTTATGATATTATCCACTTTGAGCATAAGCTCTTATGACTTTACTTTTAGTTTCTCCAAAAAACCTCGTACCAACGAATATAGTGTTCTTTACTTATAAATCCATGATTTTCTTCTTAATTAGTCAACGTGAGACTACTACTCTCGTTAATCCTCAATGGAGCATGTGCAAGTCCCTATCTTATTACGATAAGAGTTGTAAGATGGTTTAATCATCGTCCTTATTGGATTTCACTGTAGGATATTTGAATTATCTCGTTCACACATGAATTCTTTATTATAATTAAGAACGGCTATCATTGACAGATTAAAGCTTTTAAAACAAAGAAGACCACACAAACTTAAGAACATAGACAGACATGGAACGTTTCATTAATTCAACCGTTGATGTAAGAATCAATCAAACATCATAAACAAAGTCAGCTGGCTATACTGCGTCCAGTTTCTGGCAGAAAATGGAAACAGCACACTAACTCATTTTGATACGCAAAACCCCATCTCCTATACGTTGACTCGAAATTAAAAACAAAAAAACAAAACAAAAAACCAAACCATTGAAAGTTGGACACCAACGTTATCAATTGATTGAGATTGACCAAACAGCCAATTCACATGTGCCAAATGCGGCAGCCTCCATTCCTATAGTGAAGATCTTCAAATCCCATTTTTTTTTGCCAAGTGTCTTCGGTGAATCCCACGTGCATAATCTTTTAATCCTAACAATAACTCAAATTCTTCTTCCTTTTCACATTGCTGCCTGCCATTAAAGCATAGATCTATTGTGTTCTTATTATTTGACTTTAGCTTAACTCAAATAATCCAAACGCCCATCTTCTCTTCAACCGACGTGGGATCTCACAATCCACCTCTCTTGAGGACCCAACATCTTTGCTAACACACCGGTCGGTGTCTGGCTCTGAAACCATGTGTAACAGTCCAAATCCACCACCGTTAGTAGATATTGTCTGCTTTAGCCCGTTACATATGACAATTGGAGATGTTTCCAGATCCTTACAAGAAATGTTTCGTTTCCTTCTCCAACTAATGTGAGATTTCACAATCCATCTCTTTAGGAGCTAGCACAACGCCCGGTGTTTGACTAAGTTAACCCTCTCTTTCATGGACGGTGATGGCTCATTCAATCAGATTAAGGAACTGTTTTGGAAGTTCATTGCAGAGACAAAAACGCTAATATCAGACTCAAAAGGTATTGGGATGCCCCAAAAGCCATTTTGGCTTGTTCAATATCTTCTGGTACTCAAACTGGACTTTCCACCTGCTGTGAAAAGACAGCACCACTAGCAACGTGAAACATTAAGCTCATCAATTAGTCGACCCAACCGTCGGCGGATATTGTCCTCTTTTACTTTCTGTTTGCTTCTCCTCAAGATTTTTGAAACGTTTAAGTAAATGAGAGGTTTCTACACCCCTATAAGAAATGTTTCAATCTCCTCTCCAACCGATGTAGGATCTTACAATCCACCCCTTTGGGGGCCAACGTCCTCGCTAGAACACCACTCGGTGTCTAGCTTTGATATCATTTTGTAACAGATATTATCCTGTTTGAACTTTCACTTTAAGAGCCTCTTCTAAAAGTTTTAAAACGTGTATCTTAGGGAGAGATTTCTACACTCTTATAAGGAATGCTTACCCGGATGTAAGATCTCACAGTCTTAGAGAACCGGCATTTGGAATTCTTATGGTTTCTTAACTTCATGGATTGGAAACAAACCATTCAAATTCTCAATTCCAATCAGAAAGTTAAGTTCTTTACTGTTCATCAATCTGGGTTTGCAAAAGCATTTGCACTGTGGAATGCTTTGTGTAAAAGGTTACTTTTTTCTTCTGTCCACTTGCAGAGCATCTTCTTCGTTACTTCACTGTCAAAACTGATTTTTTTTGCCGGTTATGAAGCAGACAGAGTGAAGATCATCACTCAAAACGACACTAAATAAAGCGATATTCATCACTTTCAATCTTTTATTATCAAACAGTTCACTGAGAATCATACTTGAAATCAATAAGACCAGAAGCACAAATATCAAACGAATCCATGAATTCATTAGCTGAAAGTTCATCTTCTAGCTTCCCCAAGTAGCCTAATTCATCTTCTTCATCTTGCAGGAAGCTTTCCCCAAGTAGCTCTGTAACTGATGAATCCATGGCTTCAAGTTCATCTGGTTCAAAGGGGTTCTTCATCTTCTCAATGGCAGCCCATTTTTCTCTTAGTTCATCAACCTATTACAAAAATCAGTAGTTTTAGAGAAAACCCATTACAGATCTGGAAGTTTGAATGCCATACCTCTGTTTTCAGTTCTTGATTCAGCTTAACAAGACTGTCAAACTCATTCTTGAGGTTTTGATATTGAGAATTCAAAGAATCATAATCAAACACAATTTTCTTGGTCTTGGATCGAGCCCTTCGATTCTGGAACCAAACCGCAACTTGGCGAGGCCGCAAGCCAATCTCCTCTGCAATTTGAAGCTTCCTGTCATGTTCGAGCTTGTTGTGAACATCAAAGCTGGTCTCGAGCAGCCGAAGTTGATCCGGTGTGAGCCTTCTTTTCTTTTCCATGGAAGAGAAGGAATTGGGGCTGGAAAGAGAAGGGGGAGTATCAGAATTCATAACTGGGAAATGGGTGCATCCGGGATTGTCAAATGGAGAAGGTTTCTTGGTTGAAGAAATGAAGAACATGCAAATGCTAAAGAAACTTGCGACAAAAAAAATTGGTGGGGAGGGAGAGAGGTAGGGAGATATTTGTCTTTTCGCAACGTTTAAAATACACACTAAATCACAAATTTAGTCTTGAAAATTTAATTTTTTTTATATATTAAAAAAAGTTTAATATTAGACATAAAATTAAAAAATTAAAAAACTACTTTTTAGATTTATTAAATACAAAATTGAAAATTTAAATTTTAGGATGAAATTTTTTATTTAATAATTATATAAATTTAATTTTAAAGTTTAGGGTATATATGGGTCAGGCTCGAAAAGTGTACGAGGATTATTGGGAGTGAGCTAGGGAATGATCATGGGTTTATAAGTGAGTAATACTATCTCCCTTTTTGTGAACTTCAAAGTAAAGCTACGAGAGTTATCGTACTATCGTGGAGATCCGTGATTCCTAACAAAAAGGTCGCAGAGTTCTTCATTTTTTTAATATTTCTTAAAAAAAATACTCATTTTCGGTTACATTAATAATTAAAATTTAATCAAACTTAAATATCAAACATTTCTAATCACACCACGTTACTAACAATTTAAAAATTTTAAAAGTATGGTCGAGTTGGGAATCCTATTTTTGGGTTGGTCGGATTGACCCAATAAAAAAAAGTTCAATCAAATTATTATTTTTTTGTTCGGTATTCCAAGAATTCAACTCAACCCAAAACGAAAGAAAATCAAACTCAATACAACATTTATAGTTTAAGTCATATAAATACGTTTATCTCGGTTATATTTGTATTAAAGTTTTAAATTTAGAAACGTATCACTTGAACCATTCCATAATTTGGATCTGATACGAATAAAGATATTATCCCTTATTTATGTTGGACGAAGATGATTGATGAAATGGATAAAGGATACTAAATTTGTAATATATTTATTTTGATATGTTATGATGAATGTAGGGGGTGGGTCCCCAACAAAGAAATCTAGTGGTAGTTCATTAATATATTGAATTTGTTAAAGCAGCAATTTGCAAAACCCATGGGCCCATCAACTTAATTAATAGACCCTAATATGAGCCCAAGGGCCCACCTTTCTTTTACTTATTTTATTTAATAATATATATATATATATATATATTATTAATATCATCTGATTTTATAACTTTAATTTGATATAAAATATAAACCTTACATAATTTAATCTAAAATTGTTATAAATTTTAAAACACTATATAATATATATATATATAGTGTTGTGTTGTGTTGTGCCAACATTTTGAAACTAAATCTCGACGGCGGCAAACGTGTCGGTGGCACCCTTTTGGCATCGTCGCTCCCCGGCTGAGGATTCAAACCACTGGTTCTTTCGGTGTTGTTTTCGCTTTGCTCGCACTGTAAAGAAGAATTGGACGATTCTGATTGTTGCATTTGAACTCTTGATTCTGCTTTGATTAGTACTTATGAGCACTTTAAGAAACATCGCCAAGCATCCAACGATTACTTTGATCGATTCCTTCACTACGCTCAAAGAGCTTAAGCAAATCCATACCCAATTGCTCATTAATGGCCTTTTGAATGATCGCCAACATTTAGGCCAATTTGTTGCTTCCATTGCTCTTAAAAACCCCACCAATTTGGTATATTCTAATCAAATTTTGGATCAATGTGCCGACCCAACGTTGTTTACCTTAAACTCTATGATCAGAGCCTACTCCAAAAGCCCAACCCCACATAAAAGCTTTCAGTTTTACAACAGAATTCTCCAATCCAATGATGTTATGTCACCGGATAATTACACTTTCAATTTTTTGGTTCGCACTAGCGCTCAGTTATCTGCTTGCGAAGCAGGTCGAACTGTTCATGGTGCACTTTTCAAACATGGGTTTGAATTTGACCCACATGTTCAAAGTGGGTTGATCTTTATGTATGCTGAAATGGGTTGCTTGAATTCATGCTATCGTGTGTTTGAATCAGTTCAGAATCCGGATGTAGTTTGTCAGACGGCCATGGTGAGCGCTTGCGCCAAATGTGGGGATACTGACTATGCACGACAACTGTTCGACGAAATGCCTCAGAGAGACTCTATATCATGGAATGCTATGATTGCTGGCTATACACAGAGGGGGCAATCAAGGGAAGCTTTAAATCTGTTTAAGCTAATGCAAATGGATGGTGTCAAGGTCAATGAGGTGTCTATGGTTTCTGTTTTAACAGCCTGCACTCACTTGGGTGCACTAGACCAAGGAAGATGGGCACATGCTTATATAGAGAGGAACAAGATTCGGATGACTGTCACTTTAGGTACTGCACTTGTTGATATGTATTTCAAATGTGGAAATGTTGATAAGGCCATGGAGGTTTTCTTGCAAATGAATGAAAAGAACGTATATACCTGGAGTAGTGCCATAGGTGGGCTTGCCATGAATGGCTATGGCGAGAAGTGCCTTGAACTGTTTTCCCTTATGAAACGTGAAGGAATTGCCCCTAATGAAATCACATTCATTTCTGTTATAAGAGGTTGTAGCGTAGTCGGATTGGTGGATGAAGGCCGTTTGCATTTCGACTCGATGAAGAGTGACTATGATATCAAACCGCAGCTCGAGCACTACGGTTGCATGGTTGATTTGTATGGTCGTGCTGGGCGATTAGACGAGGCTCTAAACTTCATAAACACCATGCCGATTAAGCCACACGCTGGTGCATGGGGAGCGTTGCTGAATGCCTGTAGAATGTACAAGAATATGGAGTTGGGTGAGGTTGCCTCAAGGAAACTGGTAGAACTCGAAGCCAAGAATCACGGTGCCTACGTGCTGTTATCGAACATATACGCCGACACAAAGAACTGGGAAAGGGTAAGTAATGTGCGACAGTCCATGATAGCAGAATGCGTGAGCAAGCCCCCCGGTTGCAGCGTTATGGAGGTGAATGGAGAAGTTCATGAATTCTTCGTAGGTGATAAGTCCCACCCGAGTTACAAAGCCATCGAAAGGATGTGGGGAGAGATTTCTAAGCGGCTGAAGTTAGCAGGGTACGTTGCAAACACGAACCCTGTTATGTTTGATGTAGAAGAAGAAGAAAAAGAAGATGCTCTGTGTAAACACAGTGAGAAGATGGCCATTGCATTTGGATTGATGAGTGTGGAGGAGGGGTTGCCCATTAGAGTTGTGAAGAACCTCAGAGTTTGTTGGGATTGCCATGATGTAACGAAGATGATATCTAAGCTTTTTAACAGGGAAATTATCATGAGAGATAGGAATAGATTTCACCATTTTAGAGATGGTGAGTGTTCTTGCAAGGATTTTTGGTGAAATTAGTCACTCCTAAACTTTATTTTCACCATATTCAGTACTTTATTATGCTCTTTCTTTTAATAATTGGGTTGGGCTCAAAAGCTCTTTGAAATCATCGATATTGATTTGAGAGAGGAACAACGATAGCGAGGACGCTGGACTCTGAAGAGGGGTGAATTGTGAGATCCCACATCAATTGAAAAGGGGAATGAGTGACAGTGGAGCGAGAACGCTGGGTCTTGAAGGGGAGTAAATTGTGAGATCTCATATCATATCATATCAGTTTGAGATAAAGCTTCCAACCAAAAGCCCAAAGAGAATAATATATACTATAAAGTCATAGTTGCCAACTTCAAGGATCAAAGGAAAGGTCCTCTCTACCGAACGCCCGAACGTGATTCAAACTTGAAAAAATTAGAATGCCCGAATTTTCAATATTCTTTATATTAAAAGCTAGATAAGTTAATTAATCACTCTTGTCCCCTTCATCTAAGTCAATGAAAATGTATAAAAATATTCAATTTTAAAAAAGGTGGTCTACAAACTAAATTATAAAATATACTCCCAAAATTTTCTATTTGTTTCAAAGATTCCTAAATTACCCTTAAAGTAGAAAATCCATAAGAATTTTGGACGAAAAGTTAGAGTGCTAAACATCTTTTTTTTCAAACATAATCCAAGCAAATAACTTGGTCACTGCCATATCGTTGTAGGTCACTGTTACACTAATGTTCTCTTCCAATTATCGTTTTAAAACATTTACGAAAGATCAAGGGTAATATAGTAATTTTCTTATAAAAAAATATAAGTATTTTTTTAAATATTATTTAGCTAACATAGAATTGATTAAGGCTTACACGTTTCCTCGATCACATTTTTTCTACGAGAAAAAAAAAAGGAAAAATATATTGGCCAGCTTTCATATCATGAAGATGTTGGAATAATTTAAAGTCAAATCAGACGTTTGGTATACATCACAAACATAACATTACCCAAAAACTAAATGCAGTTGGACTTATTCGAATAATTTAAGATTAAAATGTCAATTTAAACATAACGTAGTAATTAAAACGTCGCTATGTTTTTTTTAAACGTTTTTAAAAGTAATTTGAATCCTCCACCTTTAATGATATTTAATATTCAAGATTGAATTAAACATTTAAACGTGGACATATTTTAAATTAATTTGTTTGTTTAATAAAATAAATATTTTTTAAAATATAATTATTTTTAAATTCTAACGAGCATCATAATTTCTTTTTAAGTTATATTATATATATCCATTATTAATTTTAATAGAATAGAAATAAAAAAAATTATAAATAATTCATAAAATTAATTTTCTCTTAGTTTTGACTTAAATTGAATGAAACGAGGAAATATAGAATATTATAAACTAATTAATTAAACCCAATTAAATTCTTTAATTTATTCAGCTTCTTAATTCTCGTTAAACGACAGCGTTTGGTCGAAACTTAAAAAACAAGTCCATGTTCATCTCCTCAAACTTCACAGCTCAATTAATTGCTCAAGCCCAACGGCTAGGGTTGGATCATTAATTATCTTATTTGAAAGCGATTTAAATTTCTCTAAAATTAATTATTTTATTTTTTAAAAAAGCAAAAAATAAAAAAAGATTGGTCAACCCTAAGATTCAAATATCTCTAATTTAAAATTTTATTTTTATATAATTCCATTTCTAATCCCTATTAATTAAATTACCATATAATATATTGATGACAAGGAGTGGATAAATAAATATATTATCTTTAAAAAAAAAAACATACGACAAGACAATTAATGCTATTTTTTAATTTCTATATTTAATATTTGTCTATTTTTTATAATTAATCTTACAATTTTATAAACATATTAATTTTTTTAATCTTTAAAGTAGTTGATTTTTTTATTGGACTACATGTATCAATTATTAATCTTGAGTTAAATTTATTAAAAAGTAAAAAATGAATATAATGATTATTAATTTAAAATTTTTATTTACTCGTCATCATTTGTATTTTTGTGATAAAAAAGGAAATAATTTTACGGTGGTATGAGATATTTAGTTTTGGTATTATTATTATTATTATTCTTTTTTGTATCTTTCTTTTGAATATAATATTATCGTATATCCATATTTCATGGAAATGACATGCAGAAGTGACTTCCTTTTATATTCATATTTTAATATTTAAAAAATGGTTAAAAAAAAAACTATCAAAATCATTATTTTTTTTTTTGGTTAGAATTTCAAATTTGGCAATTTGGAAAATAACCCATATATATTATTAATAAAGACATAATTTTAATTAATTGGCTTTTATATATTTATTTATTTTTATTTGCTCTCGATGTTTATCTTCCAAATGATTATTATTATTGTAGTGTTTAATTAAGTATATGATAATTGATTGTGTATTAAAGTATAACCAAAAAGTCTTGAAGGGTAGGAATTTGAATAAGAATCTTCAAAATTATGTCACAATAATTATAGATCGTATGTTTGTTAGTATCTTTGTTAGGAATTACAGACCTTCATAATGATATGATATTATTCGGAGCATAAATTCTCGTGACTTTGCTTTCAGCTTCCCAAAAAAATCTCATACCAATGGAGATGTATTCGTTTACTTATAAATTCATGATCATTCCTTAAATTAGCCAATGCGAGACTCACTTCCAACAATCTTCAACGTTTACAGCCTTTGAATACCGAGACCCACGTTGCCGGACTAACTCGAGAATCACCCAATTCTCAACCGACGACCAATTTTTTCTTCCTCTGTTTTCCGATGACTGCATACCCCTTCTTCTCTCCTTAGATGGAAAATAACAAAAATACCCTTTTGTTTGAATTACTTAAACACCCCCTTGCTTAATCTTAAATTGACATTTTTAACCTTAGACATCAATATAGGCTAAACATTGAACCATATGTTATAAGTCAACATTATGGAGTTATGAAACGAATTAAAATATTCAATACAACTTAATATAATAAACATTAGTTTAAATTAAGAATGGATACCAATTAAATTAAATGACAAGAACACCCTTCATCTATAAAATTAGAATTAGAGATAACACGTGGACTATTAATTTAATTAGTGCAATATAAGTCAATGGGGTGTTACCATAAATTGTGGCACACAAGGTTACGAGAAAGTTGCTTTAACTTTTAGGAAATGCCCTAAAATAATAATATGTGAAGCATAACCCACAAGACGGGGTTGGACGAGAGCATATATATAAATTTATATTTAAAATTACGCTAAATCAATATAAATAATCTTAAACTTTGTACCTTACAAATTCAAAAGTTTCAATAACATCTTTGAACTTGGGTGATTTTTTTTTTTTTTTTTACAGAAATTCAAAAAGTAAATTAACTTGCTTATCTTAAAAAAAAAAAAATGATTTTTTTACCGTTAATATACCGAAAAAAATCGTTTATAGACTCCTCGTAGATTATCTCTATTTTTAATGTTATTCTTGAAACTCTAATGTATACTGTATACCGACCCTAAATATATATTATTATTTTTATTTAATTTACAAGTAACAGTATAAAAATATTATTAAAATTTTAAATTACTATTATTATTATTATTATTATTATTATTATTTTTTTGTGTTTATTGAGTGGAGGGATTTGATGCCATGTCTACCAATGTCTATTTTTTTTCTTTGTTTCTCTTGTTTTATAAGTAAGCCCTTTCAAAGCAAGCAACAATCCCAGATGAGAATCCCAGGCCCCTTCTCTCTCTCTCTCTCTCTCTCTCCTCCCATGTGCATATCTCCATTAAAGCTCTCTCTCTAAGGAAGAATTTTGTTTCAAAATTAAAAAATATTCTCGTTGGCAGCATGAAGTGCTTGGAGGAATGGAAGTCATTTTCTGAAGAGGCTCTACACAGTTCTCTTCTCATCTTCTTCTTCTAGCTTTCTCTCTCTCTCCTTTCATCTTTAAATATCCCTCCATTTATCCCCCCCTCTGCTTTTCAGACAAGATTCAAACCCAAAACAGAGTATGGTGGGTGTCTCTGTTTTTCAATCGCCTTTTTTTGAGTATCTTATGCCTTTTCACTAAAGGGTTGTTTTTGGTTGTTGGGTTCAGGAAAGTGCTGAGATTCGTAGATGGGAAGGGTATGTGGACTGGCGGAAGAGGGCGGCTGTGAGAGGGCGTCATGGGGGGATGATTGCTGCGTCCTTTGATTTGGGTATTCTCAAAGTTGTTTCAAGAATTGGGTTTTGATCTGTTTTGGAGAAGATTTGATGAATGTTTGGTGTTTTTGTGTGTTTGTTTTGTAGTTGTGGAGATATTGGAGAATTTGGCGTTCTTGGCAAATGCAAGCAATTTGGTGATGTATTTGTCTCATTACATGCACTTTTCTCCATCAAAATCGGCTAACAATGTCACAGCTTTCATGGGAACTGCCTTTCTCCTTGCCCTCCTTGGTGGCTTCCTTTCTGATGCCTTTTTCACCTCTTATCTCATCTTCCTCATTAGTGCTGCCATTCAATTGCTCGTAATTATCCCTCTCTCCCTTTCTCTCTTTTACTTCTCTTTTTTTTTTTTTACTTTTTTTACTCTTTTTACCCTGACCCGAGTGAGAAAAAGACGTTTTTTTTTTTACTTCAATGACACGGGTAAAAGAGGCTGAACTGCTATTAAACTGATAACATTTTAGTCGAAGATATATGTTCTTTTTTTAACTGGTTAGGTTTAGATTTGGTTCGAGATATTTATGCATGTAAGAAGAAAACAAAAACAAAAGGGGGCAGGTGGATCACGAGCTAACTGTTGATGCCCTCATGGTTGTGAAAAAAGGGAAAGAACTTTAGAGGATGGGCAGATTGATTGATTGATTAATGAGGTTAATTTTTAGAGTAATTCACTAAAACGAGTTGCGATCGTGCAACGAATGTGTCGTATTTGAGTATTTCTTACCATGCAAAGACAATCACAATCTTGTTTACCTTATTGGTTGTCTTTGTGTTTTTTCGTTTACTCCTCCTCTCGTCTTGTCCCCTTTGTTTCGTTATTGGTCCTCCACCCTAATTTGAAACGTCCAATCAGGAGGTGCC